ATATATATATATATATATATATATATATATATATATATATATATATATATATATATATATATTTATATCAGTAAGTCCCCCTAGTCTGAAGTAGGAGCGAGTCGTTCTCCGGTCCAGCTTTAGACTTATACTAGAATGCATACGCATCTGAACATCTTCATTAAACTAGGTTGGGAGAAGCGACATTGTGATTCCATTTCTATAATCATGAAGTTTAGATAAATCAAAGGTGTCACATATAATTGCTCGTCGCGAAAAACTAATTGTTGATCTCTTTACGTTAAAAAGGGGACTATCTAAGAAGTCGCCTTAGTCCGAAATAAGAACTAGTTGATGTTTGGTGTTGCTTTAAACTTATAAAATGATGAATTATAGAGCGATTCAAGATTTTGGTTAGTTGTGGTGTTGACCATGATATTTGAATAATTATTGATAAGCTACAAACATGTATATATGTATTATACATGGGCCTATTCAATGTTTACACTTAATCATTTTCAGGATTAATCTTGTTTGCATGCTTTATGGGGGCATAAGGTGGGAAATGACCTTTTGTTTTAGTCCTTGTTACAAAAATCAACCGATAGAAGATGCCACATGTACATAGTCAACCAAATAGTCAAACTTAAAAGTCAAAATCTTGATTATATGATTATATTGACTTTTTAAAATAATTGCTCTCACTTGTTCTTCTTCTCCATTCCATCTCTCTACAACATCAATATATAAGTTTATGTGGCGCGCTTCCTCAGTACTAATCAACATTTTGTTCCTCACGATCTTATCATTCATAGCTTCTCCTCAAAATCCACAAATCCATTTTCCATGATACCTTTCATGAATCATCTCTTTGTGTTGCAGCGTACACTTTTCTGTCAATCCACAACAATCACGCTCCACGAAATCCCCTTCTGTCGGAGCTATCAAATTTGTCTCAACCTGATGCGATTCTGTCGCAGTCATCACCATTGCATCGCTCATAACGGTAGCAGACACATCTACAGAACATAACGAAATGAATTGATCGATAATTCATTTCAACTCAGGATTATATAAACGAAATTGAATTAAATTACTAGCAAAAACATATGAAGTTCACTAAAGCCATAAATTTCTTCCATTTCAAAATTTTAGCTGAAAGTAATGAAAATTCTTGTTGATTATCTCTCTTTTTCCTACATTCTATAGTCAATCTTGGATTTCTTAGGAAAAAGGAAGAAGAATCGGAAAGGCATTCTTCAGATCAATCTTACTTGCAGCTACAACATAGGATTTCTTACAACTTTATTCTTGAAGGGGTTGAAGCTTATAAAGTTGCAGCTTTTTTATACTGATTTTGGCGTGGAGTCATGAATTCAAGGTTAGGAATAACGGATGATAATTATAGTGTTCACAGTAACTTGATATTGCACTTTTAATTTTTATATTGAAGATGATGGACTTGGATTCAATATCTGTGATCTCATCTCCCGTTGTAAAACAAAATCGCAACCATGTTTTTCTGGGATCATCTTTTTCTCTTGTTATCGTTGATTCCCCTTCTAACAGTGCTTTTAGACTTTTCAAAGTCAACAAGTGTCCATGTGGCAAAGTGTTACCCAAGTTTCCCCTTCATTGTGTCAAAACTAACCAATTAGACTCGACAAAAACAAGTTTATTCACTCATGAAACACGTAAATAAGTTAAGGGCTGAATGGGCAAATTCGAACTATATTGTTGAGCTAATATGTCATTTTCCTTAAAATAAACAAACATTTATGGAGATGTGAAATGTAATGTGTTTTTAGCCGTATGCTAAGTAGCCACATAAGCATGATTTTGAAACAATAATGCATACGTGTCGATCTATATTACAATGATTTTGTAGTTATTGCGATGGTGAAGAATAAATATCGTGTAATAGCAGGTTGTTAATCTTCTAGTGTTTCTAGATTAATAGATAATGTAAAATGGTATTTCGACACAGGTTCGATCGGTTTTTCATCCCAGGAGCGACCTCTGACAATCAACAAGATCGTTATAGTCGTCCCAAGATTTTCCTCCCGGGAGCGACCTCTAACAATCAAGTTATTATCGATACAAAATATGGGTTGGATCCTTCGAGCGATAGGAAACCGATTATATGTATATGTTGGATTAGGTATCTAAGCCAATAACTCAATTAATATAATCTTGAATTATTAGCAAAGTCTTTTTGAGTTGCCCTCAAACCTAGTAATTAAATATGATGACTTTTAGAGAAAGAGAGACTGATTTATTGATTTATTATATGATTAATAAATAGAAATAAATGAATTTATTAATATGTTATGGAAATAATATATTAATTAGAAATAGTTATATTTAATTAATAATTAATCAGAAATTAAATAGATTATTTTTAGGATTAATTGTATTAACTAAAAGTGTAAGGGTTAAGGTGCAATTGTTTAATAGTTGAACAATAAAGAGTCCAAAATCTTCCTTGGAAGGAGGTGGACGAAATTAGGGTATTACAGGGCATTTGGAATATTACTTGCAGATAAATAGGAAGCTAGATAATTACCAAATTGAATAAATATTATTTTATTCATTTAGGGTTATCTAGGGTTTCCAACTTGCACTATAAAAGAACCCCTTGACCTACAATTTTCAACCAACTCCTCCTACTCAAAAGAAGGCCAAAGATCATCCCCTTCTCTCATGTCTCAAAAGCTTCTTGTTGCTAGTGTTGGGTGTGAACCATCATAGGCATGATACTTGTGGTGCTAGCTTCCAAGTTATTGAAGAAAGGATTCGTGATTGTTTACTACAACAATCAGAAGGTATGGTTTTTCATCTACAATTTTCGAGATTACCTAGGGTGTGAGTGTTCTTGTTATTCAATAGAATTTTACATCAATAGTGTTATTACTTTGATATTTAAGGTCCATGTACCCTTTAAGTGTTAAGGATTTATCCACGTTAATACATGTAAAACCCATCAGTGGTATCAGAGCTAGGTTGTCTAACAATTGAATGTACATTGCTTGAACTTGAAAAAAAAACCCGAAGGAGGCAAACAAAATCATCATTCTGTGGCTCCACCACAACGTGGTGATGTGCGGATTCATGTCTTTTTCCGTTTGACCACGACATGGTAATTGTCTACCACGACGTGGTGGACCCTCAGATCATCTAAAATCAGTTTTGCTTAATTCATAAATTGATTAAGATAGTTACTTTGGATAATGTTTTTAATTATATATAAAAATGAGTAAATATCTTAGCAATCAGATATCCTTATCTTGAATTTTTTAATTGTCCTTATGTTTTAATTATTTGATTAATTAAAATATAAATATCAAAAACATAATTGGTTTATTTTAAATTAATTCCTTAATTTCAAAATTTTTTATTTGGACCTTGTGTTTTTTAAAAGTTTTAAAATACACATTATATATATAATATACTAAAACTTAATTACTATATGTATAAGACTAAGTCAGTCAAATCACTACTATGCCTCATTCACGAAGCCATACTATAAGGAGAGTTTAAGGAAGCGACATATAAAGTAACCGCCGATGGGTATCCATTCTTACCCACCGCTATCTTGTATGGTGGAGGGTCGTTAGCTGAACGGATTTGATAGGACATAATCTCATTAATAAGTATAATGACATAAAAAGCAACTAAACTCTTTTATAAAATCTCACTCTTAATTACTTTATGAAAATATGAAAAGTATGTTAATCCATAAAATTGCACATTATACTTTATAGTAGTTAGTGGAGCGCGTGTGGTTAACCGACACACTAATAGTGACTATAAAGAGTAATAATGGGCTTCTTGGAAAATATCATTGATTAATGGAGCGTGTGTGGTTAACTGACACATTAAAATGAGATGATAAATGGCATCGAGAATGCTAAGCTCATTTGTATGGTTATTAACATGTAGTTTGTGATCCTCGGTATACCAGTCACAAATAGTAGAGCATAATCTGAGATTAAACATGTCATTGATAGATTCAATGAATGTCAAAAGACCTAGGAATTTCATAGTTCGAAATTGGTGAATTGCTTTTACCTACCTTCATAAATTTGCAATAAGATTACGACATCCCTCTTCTTAGTTGTAAGTTGTTATTTTGGATCCTAGCCTTAATAATTTATTATGGGTTAAAATATTAAGGATAATTGTCATCTAACTAAAACTATTCTTCTTTTTCTCTATAGATGTCTACTCCTGTTAATGCTTCTTCTCCATCATCTTCTACACACCACCCGGGTTTCTCCCTACTCTCCATCTTCTCCAAAGTGACTGTTGATGGCTCCAACTATAATGATTGGATGTGCAACATCAGAATGGCTCTTCGCTTCAAGGGTAAAGTATATATGCTTTAAGAAAAGCTTGTTGAAGTGAATGAAGCTACTACAACTCTTGAAAAACTATCCTCCTACAGAAAACACTACGACGATGCAACAAAAGTTGCTTGCATCATGGTCAACACAATGAATCTTGAATTGTAGAGGTTCTATGAGGAGTTAGCCATTGACATGGTCCTAAACTCCTTGCCAAGTTGTATTGATCAGTTTATATTAGTTTATCATTTGAACAAAACATAAACCACATTGGCCCAACTCCACAACTTGCTACAGACTGTTGAGTCGGGATTAAAGGGGAAGAATTCAACCCCTCCTGCTAATGCTCCCGTTCTCGCCCTTGAAAAAGGTAAAAGGAAGATAAGGAAGGATACACCCAAATCCAACCGGAAAAACAAGGCCCATGCTACATCATCAACCAATGGGACAAAGGCAAAGCCCAATTCAGACATTCCAACTGTTAATGACCGCAAAGAGGCCATTTGTTACTATTGCAATGACAGGGGCCATTGGAAGAGCAGCTACCCCAAATACTTGCAAGAAATCAAGGATGGAAAGGTGAAGCCATCGTCGGCAGGTATATACACTATTCAAACTAATAACTCACCATCTACTCATTCTTGGGTCCTTGATACAGGATGTGGTTTTCACATTTGTTCTGATTTGCAGAGGCTAAAAGAAAGTGATGAGGTGGAGCATGGAAGAATGAATCTGATCATGAAGAATAGGCGATCTTCTCTTGTCACCAAGATTGGGACTTATCAGCACATGCTTAGTACTGATGTTAGGATTAGTTTAATTGATTGTTACTACTAGTCATAAATGACATGAAACATTATTTCTTTTCATTCATTGTTTAGACAAGGTTTTCGCTACTCTTTTAATGATTTGAATGGTTCAATTCTAGTTTATAAAAAAAGTGTTTTTATATTTGAAGCATTACCTTGTAATGGGGTGTATGAAACTATGACTTGTGTTGATAGCTTAGGCAATATTGTATTTCACATTGATTCGGCTAATGGTCTAGACAAGGCATGCTTGTGGCATTGTCGTCTTAGGCACATTAACAAGAAACGCATTGCCTAAATCTAAAAGGATGGAGTCTTGGAATCTTTTGACCTAAGGACAAATGATGAATGCGAATCCTGTCTTTTGGGAATGATGAAAAAATAACCTTTCACTGGGTCTTGTGAAAGAGGTGAAGGTTTATTGGATCTTATACACACAGACATGTGTGGACCCTTCAGATCTAGTACAAGAGATGCTAATCGATTTTATGTGACGTTTACAGATGATTATAATACATATGTTTATATCTACTTGATCAAACATAAATTAGAAACCTTTGAAAAGTTCAAAGAGTTTATACATGAAGTTGAGAATCAAGTAGGCAGAAGGATAAATATGCTCCGATGTGATGGAGGAGGAGAGTATCTTAGTTCCAAGTTCCATGACTACCTTAACGAATGTGGAATAGTTTCACAATTGACTCCTCCTATAACACCACAACTTAATGGTGTGACTGAGATCCGTAATGGAATCTTGTTGGACATGGTTCGTTCCATGATGAGTCGAGCCACTCTTCCCATTTCCTTCTGGGGGTATGCCTTAGAGACAGCTGCCCATATCCTTAATCCTGTCCATACTAAAAAGGTTGCTAAAACACCTCACAAAATTTAGATAGGGAAGGTTCCCTTGTTAGCACATATCAAATTTTGGGGTTGTGAAGCTTTCGTTCGATGAGAGACTCATAAAAAGCTAGAAGACAAAAGTGAGAGTTGTATTTTCATTGGCTACCCACAAAAGTCTTTTTGATAGTTATTCTACAAGCCTAGTGAAAACATGGTCTTTGTAGAATGAAGAGGAGTCTTTCGCAAGTGAGGGCTTATATGCAAAAAGGACAGTGGGGGCACAATTGAACTTGAAGAGATTCAAGAGTCATCCAATGAAGGAACCTTATAAGACACTAGCACTCAACCAGAGGAAGAAATTCTAGTTAAGCCAGTTGACAATTTATTACCTCTTTGTCGTTCTAGTAGAGTTAGCATGCCACCTAAGTTCTATGGTTTCCGTATATCTTTAGACGGTGATACATTTATCAGTGATCAACCACTGATAATTTGGATGAGCCAGCTAACTACAATGAAGCAATGATAGACCCTGAGCTTGCTAAATGGAAAAAGGAAATGGATAGCGAGATCAAGTCCATGTCTGAAAACCAAGTTTGGAACTTAGTTGATTAACAACCTGGTCGAAAGATAGTTGGTTGCAAATGGATCATAACGAAGAACACCGACATGGATGGAAATGTGCACACTTTCAAGGCATGACTGGTTGCGAAGGGCTTTACTCAAACCCCAGGGGTTGAATATGATGAGAACTTCTCACCAGTGGGTAGGATTAAATCTATTAGGATAATGCTCGGCATTCATGCCATTCATGATTATGAAATTTGGCAGATGGATGTCAAAACAACTTTCCTTAATGGAAAGTTAGCTGAAGATGTTTACATGAGTCAGGTAGAGCGTTTTATTGATGCAAAGTTTCCCAATAGAGTGTGTGAGCTTGCAAAATTCTTCCATGAAAAACTCAAAGAATTTGGTTTTTCTAAGAGCGAGGATGAGTCTTGCGTATATGTCAAAGCTAGTGGGAGTATAGTAACTTTTCTAGTGTTGTATGTTGATGACATACTACTCATGGGAAATGACATTCCAACCTTACAATAAGTGAAATCTTGGCTTGGAAAGTGTTTTGCGATGAAGGATCTAGGAGAGGCTGCCTATATTCTCGGGATAAGAATTTTAAGAGATAAAAAGAACATGATAATTGGAATTAGTTAAAGTACATACTTGGACAAGGTACTAAAACGGTTTAGTAAGGAAAATTTCAAAAAATGAGAGCTACCTATTCAAAGCAGTGCCAAATTGAGTAAAACTCAAAGCCCGAGTCTGGATGAGGAGATAGCTGATATGAGTCGATTCCCTTATGCTTCGGTTGTAGGATCGATCATGTACGCTATGACATGTACTCACCCTGATGTTTCCTTTGCTTTAAGGATGGTCAATCGCTATCAGAGAAATCCTGACAGATTTCACTAGACGACAGTTAAGAACATTCTCAAGTATTTATGAAGGAAAAAGGACATGGTTATAGTCCTTGGTGGCAATGATACATTGAGAGTGACTGGGTATAGTGACACAAACTTTCAAACAGATAGAGACAACTTTTGTTCTCAATCCAGTTGGGTATTTACATTAAATGGAAGAGCAGTTACTTGGAAAAGTTGCAAGCAAGACACAGTGGCTGATTCTACATGTGAATAAGAGTACATAGCGGCAAGTGAAGCATCAAAGTAAGCAACGTGATTGAAGAACTTCATTGGAGATCTTGGAGTAGTCCCAACCATTCAGGAACTCGTGGAACTTTTCTGCGATAATGAAGGAGCGGTTGCTTTAACCAAAGAACCGAGAGATCATGAAAAATCAAGACATATCGACAAAAAATACCATTATATCAGACATAGAGTTGAAGAAGGTCATCTCATAGCGAAAAGAGTCTCGTTAGAAGATAATCATGCAGATCGTCTCACAAAGGCTCTGAGTAGGATTAAGCATATACAACATGCTATGAGCATTGGATTAAGAGATGACATTAGTTTTAGTAGTTACACGATTAGTTTTAAACTTGTAACAAAATAAATGTAATTGACTTTTGGTGATTAAATAATAGAGATTATTTATAAGTTTGATTACTGCCTTTATCAATTATTTATTCTTGTGTTTCTTTTTTACATGTTTTACTTCCCGAATTGGATTGTAGATTATATAAGGAAGTTAGACATAGGAATTGTATTGCCACAACATTAATGAGTACTTAGAAATGGAGATTTAAGTATTAGATGAACCCACGCTTAGAGAATTACTTCATGGATTATATCACGAGTAATTCTGAGACGATAATATCTTATATTCTTGAAACGGAGATATATGAGCTGTAATATACAAATTGGTTGTGCATTTGTGTTGCGTAAATGCATCAGTAAGATGATGTTATAAACCGTAAAGTCATGTATGATTTGGTGAGTAAAGGATACAAGAATATAACTCAAATTTTATTCGTTCCTTTTGGCCTAACAGTAAAAGCGATATCTTTGGGCCCCTCGGTGATTTGGTGTTGATTTATAATGCTAGGCCCAACCAGAACTCAATTGATATGTTCAATTTGAAGTGTTATGTCGTCATCACAAATCAGGAAATCGCGAAACAAAACTTGGACAATGAGATTGATTCTAATCCATGTCTCATGTCTGTATGATATCTAGTAGAACGGAGGAATATTTGATCACTTATATTAGGACCAATGTCTGTTTATTTCAGAATTCGACAGTTGCCATGGAAGCGCTCTTTACTGTTTAATTTAGAAGTTATACTGGTAACTGCAGTTATAGAATTATCTAAGTGGAGATTGTTGGATTAAGTGTATAAGCCAATAACTGAATTAGTATAATCTTGAATTATTAGCAAAGTCCATTTGAGTTTCCCTCAAACCTAGTAATCGGATAGGATGACTTTTAGAGAGAAAGAGTGATTTATTGATTTGTTATATGATTAATAAACATCAATAAATGAATTTATTAATATGTTATGTAAATAATATTAATTAGAAATAGTAATATTTAATTAATAATGAATAAGAAATTAATTAGATTAATTTTGGGATTAATTGTATTAATTAAAAGTACAAGGGTTAAAGTGCAATTGTTTAATAGTTGAACAAGAAAGAGTCCAGAACCTTCCTTGGAAGGAGGTATTCCAGGACATCTGGAATATTCCTTGCAGATAAATAGGAAGCTGGATAATTACCAAATTGAATAAATATTAGTTTATTCACCATCAGAGGCACGACACTTGTGGTGCTAGCTTCCAAGATATTGAAGAAAAGATTCTTGATTGTTTACTACAACAATCGAAAGGTATGATTTTTCATCAATAATTTTCGAGATTACCTAGGGTTTGAGTGTTCTTGTTGTTTAATAGATTGTTATATCAATAGTGTTATGACTTAGATCTTTAGGTTGCATGTACCCTTATTTGTTAAGGATTTATCCACGTTAATACATGTAAATCCCGTTAGTATATTCGATGTGTATGAGAGATTTATAACTTACCCCCAACTATGTGTATTGAGAGGTTTATATATAGTCAGAAGTACCTTCTACCTTGGGGAGAAAGCTAAAAACTATGTATTAGGAATGTAGGCGTGAGAGTTGTACCAGAGGTGCTGGGAGTACCTTTTGTCTTGGGAAGGAGCACGCTCTATTACCGAAATGAATGATATTGACGAGACCAAACCAAACCATATTGATGAGATCGAATAGAACCATATTTTTGCGACCGAAACAAATCATATTATTAAGAAAGAACCGAACAATACTTTCACTACTAGATCGAACAATATGGTTAAGACCGAACCAAACCATATTGTCGAGACCAAACTGAAACATCTTTTCGAGAACAAATCGAACTATATTGTTGAGACTAAACCGAACGATATTTTCAAGACCAAATTGAACAAAATTGTCAAGATGAACCGAAGCATATTTTGTCGAACTGTGTTAGCCGAATAGCCGAACCATATTGGCATAACCATATTTGGTTGAACTGTGTTTACATGTACCTGGGCAAAGGTCCGATGAAACATATATATCAATAAGCCCCCTAGTCTAAAGTAGGAACGATTTGATGTTCGATCCTGCTTCATATTTATACTGTAATACATACGCAAATGGACTTCATCATTAAAATAGGTTGGGAGAAGCGAAATTCTGATTCCATTTGTATAATCATGAATTTTAGATTAATCAAAGGTGTCACATATAACTAGTCGTGTAGAAAAACTAATTGTTGATCTCCTCACATTAAAAAGGGAATCGTCTAATAAGTCTCCTTAGTCCGAAATAGGAGCCACTTGATGTTTGGTATCGTTTCAGACTGATACTATGATGAATTATAGACCGAATCAAGATTTTGGTTAGTTGTGGTGCTCACCATGATTTTCGAATAATTATTGATAGGCTACAAACATGTATATATGTATTACATGGGCCCATTCAATGTTTACACTTATCCGTTTTTAGGATTAACCTTGTTTGCATGCTTTAGGGGGCATAAGGTGGGAAATGACCTGTCCTTTTAGTCCTAGTTACCTAAATCAACTGATACAAGATGCCACATGTATATAGTCAACCAAATAGTCAAACTTAAAAGTCAAAATCATGATTATTTTGACTTTTTCATTAATCGCTCGCTCTCTTTCTCTCTCTCTCTCTCTCTCTCTCTTGTTCTTCTTCTCCATTCTATCTCTTTGCCACTTCAATACTTAAGTTCATGTGGCATGCTATAGCCTCTTCAGTACTAATCAACCTGTTGTTCCTCACGATCTCATAAAACCTTTTGTTCCTTAGGATCTCAGAATTCGCGTCTCCACATAATCCGCATATCCTATTTCGTTGATACCTTTCATGAGTCCTCTGTATGTGTTGCATCGTACACTCTTCTATCAATCCGCAACAATCACATTCCACGAACTCCACTTCTTTCGGAGATACTAAATGTATTCCCACCAGCTGCGATTGCATCGCAGGCATCACCATCGCATCGCTCATAATGGCAGTGGACATCTCTGCCGAACATAACGATATGAATTCATCAGTAATTCATTTCAACTCAGTATTATACAAACAAAATTGAAATTAAATTACCAACATAAGAATATGAAGTTCAATAAAGCCACAAACTCCTTCGATTTCAAAATTTTAGCTGAAAAGTAACGTAAATTCTTATTGATTATCTCTCTTTTTCCCACACTCCATAGTCAAGCTTGGGTTTGTGATGACAAAAGGAAGAATAATCTGCAAGGCATTCTTAAGTTGATTCTTACTTGCAGCTGGAACAAAGGATTTCTTACCGTTAGATTCTGCATTCAGCTTGGGGAGGTGAGTTTCCTCGTGTAGGAATGCCGGCCTGTTTATGTATGTTAGTATGTTCTCGACTAAGGTACGATGTTGGGCGGTGCCCGATGAATGTTTATATGCTTTCCGGATTTCGGTCCGATGTCGGGCGATGCCCGAGGAATGTTTGTATGCTTGATGTCTTTGTGATTATTGCATGTGTCTGTATTTGCTCGATGTCGGGCGGGGCCCGAAACCGAATTTCGGTCCGACGCCGGGCAGGGTCTGATGCCGGAAATTCTCCGATACCGGGCAGGGCCCGATGAAGGGGCGGTGCCGACGATATGTTTATTTGCGATTATGTCCTTATGTGCTTATGTGTATGGTATGTGGTAGTTTGTGGAGACTCACTAAGCATTGTGCTTACGATTTTCAATTTTGGTTTCAGGTACTTCCAGTAGCAAGGGGAAGAGCTCGGGATGACTGCATGGCACACACCATGATGTTTCAGCCTAGGATGTTTTACTCTGATATATTGACATGTGTTTTCTATACGATGAATAGAGATACTTTGACGTATGTTTTGATGAGATGATTTTGATAACTATGGTTTATTTAATAATTTAAAACGAAATTTTTTGGTCAAGATTTTTGGGATGTTTCAATTATTGTGGGTTGAAAACCCTATGTACTCACCGGGTTTCCCAACCTGACCCACTATGTTTATTTGTATCACAGGTGTCGATATGAAGCTACATTACACTGAGAGATTAAAGGAAATGTAAATCACTAGTGTAAATGAAATGTAAGGTCTGTTTATGCTTATGTTTCTGTATTGACGATGACATCCCAAAGTTTTTATATAAACAAAATACATTTCTTCGGAAATGCTTTGATAATATATTTATCATGTGTTTCTGGGAACAAATTTCGCAATATTATTATTTAAAACGAATACTCTGATTTCCAAATAAGCATAAATAATTTTTTAAAATGACTGTCAACTTGGGGATGTCACGGTTGGTATCACAACATTAGTTTAAGCGAACTAGGAATACGATTTATTTCTATACTTAAACTAAAATACTAAGTAATGATCGTGAGGAGTGTGTCTAATATATTTTAGGGAGTACACCTGAATAGACACGAGCACTAGCTTATTTAGGGAAGATGCTTAATTTGTTGTACGTGCTAAATGATTTGTGATGCTTTATGATGTCATTATTTGATCGGATCTATGGTCTATTCCCGACCAGATCTGGAAACTTTATGTGTTCAGATCTCTAAACGTTTAATTACGGTATTAGAAATGGCATGTAAATTTTTGGAGTAATAAGGAGGAATACGCGTCTAAACATTCCTCTATCTATATTCTCGTCTCGATACACCGAACGACTGCTTTGTTGTATAGAATGTCATGATAAGAATGTTTGATTAAGTGTCTAAGCCCATAACTATTTTTGGTATGTACTTGATTTGATTATGAGCATTGTCCTTTTAGGTTGCCTTCACTCATGCAACTTGATAGGATGACAATAGGAGAGAGAGTAGAATTTATTATATGAATAATAAATTCGTATTCAAAATGTTTTTATTAATATATTACAAGATTAATATATTATTTGGAAATTATATTATTTAATTCATATTGATCATAAATTAGTTTGTGTTGGGTTTTATTCTAAAACTTAGTTTCAAAAACTACAAATAATGGCAAACGGAAGACTTGAGTTTTATAAAATAACATAAACATTTTATCACCCACCAATAATCATCTTGTAAGTGAAAGAAAGATTTAAAACATAACCATAGAAGGAAGAAGTGGTAACAACCTTTGAAGCACTTTAAGTCCTCTAGGGGAGGCTTGGAAGTTGATGGAGTGAGGATGAATCCTTGAGACACCAACAAAGTACCAACTTGATGTAATGCTAGTTACAACTCTTAAGCTTTAAGTCAAAAACAATTTTATGACTTAAAGAGACGATGGAAGAAACTTATATCTTCAAAGTGAAAGACTTTAGAGATAAGATGAAGAAGGGAAGAGATGCTCACGGTTTTAAGCAATAATGGTGCAAGAAGAAAGGTTGCAAGAGTGCATCCTTTATATAGCCATAAAGAGGAGTCAATACCCATTAGATCTTAACACTTTTTGCAAGCATGTCCCTATGTCATGATTATATTTCTTCTAGCTTCTATTATTTACATTCAATAAGTACAAAAGGCCATGCCCTAACTAGTCTACACTAATTTCGTCCATGCCTCTTAAAAGAAGAGAAAATGTTTAAATTTTGATAAACACAAATTTTATAAAATATAAACTTTGTCTTTAGGTAAAAGACAAAAGACTCAACTAGTCCAAAATGTTGTACATGACTTATTAATTCATACATTATGAAATAATGTGTTACTTGTATCGTAAAATAATTATTTCCTTGAAATAAATATTTTCCCAATTTATTATAAGAGTTTATGAATGTTTATTAAAATCAAGTTCTAATAAATAATCAATTATATCAAGTTGTTGTTAGTGTGACCCTTAGGATGATATGTTATTTAGCAATATCATTTTAATATGACTCTTGAGCATACTAGATCTTTCAATCTCCTACTTGCGCAAGACTCATATCAAATTGATATAGACAGTGGTGAACGTCTAGCAACATTTCACTACCCCAACAACATATGATGTAGTGCCATTCCATCAACACCCAATTCCCCAAAAGCCCCAAAGGCTACAATTGGTGAGTAAGGTACGTTTATCAGTTATCCCTTTGCTACAGACATCATGTTGAACATGAGATATGGATAGCATTCAATCTCATGTAAGTGTTCAACTTTACATCAGGCCTTAGATGTCTAACTCTCAAAGAATAAGAGGAACTAATCCCATCTTGAATACATACGCCTCTTGCATGGTTTACATCATACCTGATGATAGCTTTTATAACTACCTAATAAAGGAACAAATTTTGACTACATCAAAGCATAACGTTCCCCATACTCAAGTCACAAATATGTATCTCAGGTATTAAGGATATACATATATTACCTTTTATCAAGTATCATTCATGACAATGATCCATGAAGTGATCTTGAGCGGGTCACTCCAATACTTATTCTGTAGTAAGTATCTATGAAACTGGTTACAATGCTTTGTAAACCATCCTATTTCATATTAGTCTTATTTTGTTATTGCTCCCACAATAACAACTGACTATGGAGTTTTAGAGTGAATAAATTTACTCAAGGATTAAACATGTTAATAAAGAACACAACAAATATTTAATGAAAAGATCACATGCCATATATATCATAGTCATTACAATAGATGATGTTGTATAATGTTCCAATATTCAATACTAATACATAGATCAAATCCAATCACTAGAATAGCGAAGTCCTATACCTCGAGCATGTCCTTCAAATTTTGCTTGAGGAAGAGGCTTAGTGAAAGGGTCCGCCAAATTTTGATCGATGTGAACTTTGCGAATACTAATTTTACCTTCTTCAACTTTATACCGGATGAAGTTGAATCTGCGGCTAATATGCCTGGTGTTCTTGTGTGCTCGGGGTTCTTTTGCCAAAGCAATAGCACCCTCATTATCACAGAAAAAGTGTAGGGGTCCTGAATGGTAGGGACTACCCCTAGATCCCTAATGAATTTCTTCATCCAAGCAGCCTGTTGTGCAACTTCAGAAGTAACAATGTATTCTGACTCTGTAGTGGATTGTGCAACAACACTTTGCTTGAAGCTTTTCCAAGATACCACACCCCCATTGATAATGAACACATATCCTGATTGCGATTTGCAGTCATCTCGATCAGTTGTGAAGGAAGCATCAGTGTAGCACTTCACACTTAAGCTTTCTTCCATGCCTCCATAGACGAGGAACAAATCCTTAGTTCTTTGTAAGTACTTTAGGATGTTCTTCATAGCTCTCCAATGACTCTCCCCTGGATTTTGTTGGAAATTGCTTACCATGCTCATAGCATAATCAAATCAGGTCTTGTACAATTCATGGCATACATGATGGATCCAATTGCACAAGCATATGGAATATCTTTCATCTTATCTAGCTCAGCCTTTGTTCTAGGACATTGAGATGAACTTAGTATAGTGCCATGTGCCATAGGTACAAATCCTCTCTTAGAGTTTTCCATATTGAACCGCTTCAATACTTTCTCAATATATGTACCTTGGCTTAGACCTACTAATCTTTTTGATCTATCTCTATAGATTTTGATTCCAAGAATGTATTGTGCCTCACCTAGGTCCGTCATTGAGAAACACTTTCCAAGACAAGTCTTTACACCTTGTAAAGTTGGAATGTGATTTCCCATAATCAATATGTCATCCACATATAGGACCAGGAATGTCACAGAGCTCCCACTAGTTCTCATGTAAACACAAGATTCATCTTCATTTCTAATAAAACCATACTTTGTGATTTCATCATCAAAACGATGATTCCGGTTACGAGATGCTTGCTTTAACCCATAAATGCATCTCTTGAGTATATACACTTTATTAGGATGTGTTTGGTCGACAAAACCTTCCGGGTGATCCATATAGACATCTTCTTCCAAGTGTACATTCAAAAAAACGGTTTTGACATCCATTTGCCATATCTCATAGTCATAATATGCAATTATGGCAAATAGTATCCTAATTGATTTAATCATAGCGACTAGTGAAAAAGTTTCATCATAATCAACCCCGTAAGTTTGAG